TAATAGTTAGAATAGGGGTTTTGGGGTACATTAAACTCTAACGAAAAAGTAAGGAACCCCCTCCCAAAATAGTATAGGTAATTATTAAAGCCCCTATAGTCTTGTGCCCATGTCCTATTCGTATTCGCTCTCTTCTTCATTGGCCCTGGGTTCAACAAGTAGATTCCCTGGGGTTTGCGTTCAGGGTGTATGCTCTCTCTCAGCTATCCAACGGCGCCCTCCCCACTAAGCCCAAACATGCCTCAACCCTTGAACCGCTAGACCCTAAACCCCAAAAGGCCCAAAGCCCTAAGGCAAAGATCCCGACTAAACCCTACCTATAGGCTCCATTGTAGTTCCTTTTTGGGGGATACCTTACAAAATCCTAATATATATATATATATATATGTGGTTAAACCAAAAAAAGGGAACTACAATGGAGACTACGGGTAGACCCTAAATACCCTGAACCTAAACCCTTTTGAACGAGGTCTCTCTGTAAACCTAAACCCTAAACCCTGAACCCTAAACCCTAAACCCTGAAGTATAGGTACAGTTTGGAGTTTCGGGTACCTCTTCGGCTTTCCCAGCCGGTTCCTCGGCTGCCTGGCAAGAACGGGTTTGGGTTGAGGGGTCTAAGGGTGTAGGGGTTTAGGGTTTAGGGTTTAGGGGTTTAGGGATTAGGGTTTAGGGTCGAGGGTTTAAGGGTTTAGGGATTAGGGTTTTAAGGCTTGCAGAGTTTTGGGGTCTCAGCATTTCGGGCTTTTGGGGGTTTGGGGGGCTGTTATGAGAAGCGGGGCTTAAACAAAAGTTCAGGATTAAGGCGTTCGGGCTCGTGGGGTCTGCCAGTGCGCGGATGACGAAGCCACATAAAGCAATTACGCAACAAAACTGAAGTAGTCCTCTACAAGCAAAACGGGATCGGGAAATTAAGTTGAAACAGCGGCCTAATGTGAACTGTTACTGTTGCAGGAACTTGGCGCTAGATTGAGGGTCGCCGTCTTGTAAGTTTTTGGCACAATGGACTGACAATCCCGTTTCCAAACCTGCAGAGTGTCGAACATGAGGCCGCCCTACGCCCTGACCCGCGTTGCCCCTTACGCAGTGGCCAGGCCATGAAAAGGCGTTCGCCGGAAATCCTTGCCCAACCCCCCTGTTTCAGAATGTCACTACTTCGTATGAAAACTACAGTACTTGGCAAGGCAATGACGAAATCCCCAAGGCCTTACCATTTGGCATAGAACTGCCACCAACATGTCGCAGCATGCCAAAGAAACCCACCGGAGGCCGGCAGAACACCGATCCTCTCCCGAAACAGCCGTCAGCAATAGCACGGCCAATCGGAAACCCCTGAACTTAAAGAGCGGCCTCCAGTAAGTACTTGGGGGAGGATCATGCCTATACTCTCCATTGTAGTTCCTTTTTTGATTTAACCTAAGGTATCCCCAAAAAGGAACTACAATGGAGACTATAGGTGGGTTACAGGTATCTTCACACCATACTTCGAACTATCCATGACCCTCAAAGCAGTTCCAAGAACGGTATCGTCGACAGGGGATTCCGCTGCTGAGTGTCGGAGGGTCAAAGGGCAGACTTTTGGGCGACAGCTTGGCGTCAACCTTGAATCAGCGATCTCTCATGTAGGAGTTAGGATTAGGGGGGACCCTTGGGGATATAGACCCTCTCAATAAGGTCCCTTTGAAGAGAGCCAGAACTGGGGTTCAGGAGGGCCCCCGTTAAGGGGTCTCCCTAAAACTACTTAACATCATGCCCCCAGCACGATTCCGTAAACTCGGAAATCTGGGAACATCCAAGCGCCCTTCACGAAAACGTTGAGTCCTCTGTGGGTGCTGCAGGAACTGCATCAGTGCCTCGGCGTGACTTGGGGCTCGTTGACGTACTTCAGTGCTCAGGGTCTCAGGTTTTGAGGTTCGGGATGAAATTAATGTAATCCTTGCGAAGGTCTAGCCAGGCACAGCTCCCAGAATGTGGAGCTGAGGGTTTCTTCAGGCAAAGAGGACGGCGCCAAGAGTAGATGTCAGACACCCCTTCGAAACATGAAAGGCGAGAGGTGCTCGTAAGAGCTCAGGGCTCCCAATCGAACATGCCATGACAGGGGCTTCGGTCATGAGCAAGTTGGGGAGCGCTAGTAATGTAGGGGCCTTATATAGATGATTAGAATAGGGCTTTCGGGGGTTCCTTATGATGGTTATAGTCAATTATAGTATGACATACCCCCCAAACCCGATTCTGTTTCTTAAGGCCCCCTGTAATAGGTTTGCCTTGGGGGCAAGGACAAGAAAAGACTTTGCTTTCATGTGCGAGAGCGCAGCAACAACACGCTGTACTCATTCGTCGAAGCCAAACCACGCCAAACTGAACAGCAAAGCTCAAGGGCTACATGTATATGTGAACAACAAAAAAGCAACACCCAACGGTCGATTCTACGTCGAGGATTTTCCGTTAAACTTGCAGGCCGAAGTGATACGGGCCTTCACAATCAGAATACAGTTTCGTGGTCTGTCTTACTACAAATATACCAAGATCTGCAGCGGAGGGGATGTGTATGTTATCATTAGGCCCCTATATGCCCCTATGCTAGCCGCATCTGCTAAAGTAACCCCGACACATCATCTGACATAGCCCCTTGTGCCGCAGAAACCTCCAAGTTCACCGCGATCACGGGTCTGCGAAGCGCTGAAAAGCACCCAAAAAGGCTCCGACACAACACCCGCAACCGCAAGAATCACTTCGGGCTGTAGTACGGATTTTGGAATCAGTGGACAATCTCAGCCCGCATCTTCAAGATCCCTCATGCACTCCAAGGGATATCTTCCGATAACTCATTTATCAGCTTACCAACACACCCTCACCCCAACCCTGACGGCTTTAAACCCTGAACCGCAAAATCGAAAACGACACCGAGCAACGCGATGGAACATATCAATGTACACCCTGAACCCTAGGCCCTAAACCCTAAGCCCTAAACCCCTAAACCCTAAAACCCAACCCTAAGCCCCTAAACCCCTAAAGCCCACCCCTAACCCCCTAAACCCGAAACCCCAAACCCTAAGCCCTAAACCCTGAGCCCTAAACCCAAAGGTGCCTGTCGTCGGGTCGGTCTCTGCGCCGTCCTTGGGCGCATCCGTGGCCTCTGTCGGCGCATCTGTCGGCCTTGGTTCATAGCCTACCTATACTCTCCATTGTATTTCCTTTTTTGGATTAACCAAATATATATTAAGGATTTTATAAGGTATCCCCAAAAAGGAACTACAATGGAGACTATAGGTAGGGTTGTAATGTAGGGGCCTTCATATAGAATAGCGGTTTTTGGAGTACATTATACTATGGTTATTATAAAGAACCCCAAAATAGTAGAGGGTTCTGGAATACATTATACTATAGTTACAATAAGCAACCCCCCCCCAAAAAAAAAAA